GTGTCGCACTGCGATTGGATTATGGATAAATCCATCCCGCTCCCGCGGGCTCGAGGGTTTCTCACACGGGTAAGTCTACGACCACAGCAGCTGAGGGCCATAGCTTGAGCTCAGCTCAAGACCCTTCAGTTTCTCGACTACTGAAAGAATCGCGGTGCGCAAGACGACGCAAGGCGTCATAATCCTTCTTATCATAAGCGTTCACGACGTCTCGGCAGTCTTGTCTAAGGGGAACTTCAAACTCCCACGAGTTCTCGACACGAATGCAGGATTAAATCCCGTCGATGACGGTGACCCACAAGGCGTTCCACGTGGTAGTGGATGCCAACATTCTCATCGAGAAGAGACTACGGACGATGACGACTTGGTCGATCGCAGTCTGGTAACCCACGATGCTCTAGAGCATTGGAGGACAAACTCACCATTCCGTAACCTTCTTAAGGAGATTCGACAATGACCGTGCAATTTCCGCAAAATTTGCGCTATACTTATGCAAGTAGTTGGCGAGGCCAAGCCACTTGCGCAAATCCTTTTGGTTCGTTTAAACTGGCCAATCCAGAATGGCCTTGACCTTAGCGGATCCCAAAAGCAACCTAAAAAAGGAGCATCTTCCACGTCGAAAATGCACTTATCGGAATTAGCATACAGCTTATTCGTGTGCATGCACTCGAGGACTGCTCTCAAATGAACGGTTTGGTAATCCTCATCTGTTCTCCCATGCCCCGCACGACTGTGGACAAATATTTCGTCAAAGTAATTCTGTGCAACGACAGATGGGGTCTGAACAATTGCATCACAAGACGATTAAATATTGCTGGTGCATTTGACACCCTTGGAGCATCACCAGCCTCTCTTAGAGCATCCAGCTCGGAGTACTAACCGCTGTCAGCGGATAATCACTCGCTCTCATGAGCAATTGGTAATAACCATCGACAAAGTCGAGTGCACTGTACTTTGTACAGCCAACCATATTGTTCTGGTGAGCATCCTTTTTAGAATTTGGCGTTTGTACCGAAATGGTGACAGCGTTCAGCTTATTATAAGCGTAAATGATGCGCCAGTTGCCGCTAGGCTTCCGGACACAAAACGTGGGTGTCGAGTGGGGAGACTTGCTCCCACGCACCACTTCTTTCTCATGCTTCGCACGGAAAAGGCGTCAATGACGTCATACTGCTCCCTGGGTAGGAGCCATTGGCATATGACGCAGTATTTGGTGCCCGGAACCAGGTCAATCTCATGACACACACCTCGGTCTGGAGGTGGGACCGATGGCGGGTCTTTGGAGACGACTTCTTGGATTTCCTTTACTAAAAGATATTACGGATCCGAAGGATCCTTCAGGATCAACGATACACTTCGTGCGTTCAGCACCCTTTTAGTGCCCTCCAGGACACCAACATTCAGAAGCAACGACGAGTTAATCTCCTCGTTTGGTCTTATAATGACCACCCCGGTTAAATTGCCTGTCTTCAAGGCACCTTTAAACTCTTCGACGGACATCTCGACCTGCTCAAGAAGGGCATCAACCGCAGGAATAGCATCGAAGGTGACGTCGCCGTCTTCCTCGCCCGTCATACCGACAACAAGGGTATATAGCTGTGCATTATTGTCTACGATAGACACACCCCTGGATCAGGGTCGACGCCCTGCGTCTTGCAAACAACTTACGGCTTCGCCGTCTCCTCTTAACAGAGGTTTTACATCTCATCGATACCAGTAAGAACACGCGGCGTCATCCAGTAGATCCAAACCCTGCTCCATCGGAGCCTTGATGTTATTAACAACATCCAACGAAGAGCTGCTATTTCTGCAGTCTTCGTCCATTGAATAACGTGCCACTCCACACGCATTCGAAGGGCCTTGCTTCGTATGCCTCGGACCTCGTCTCTTGGCATGCAGCAGCTGATACGAAACGTGAGCAGTGCTCAGTGGACTACATGCCACTCCACGCGCATCACAAGGGCCTCGCCCTTGATGCCTCGGACCTCGACCGACCATGACGCTCTTGGCACGCAGCAACTTCTTTGAATCGTGAGTAGTTCTTAGTGGTTTACGTCCCAATCCACGTGCATCACAAAGGCCTCTCCCCTGATGCCTCAGCCCTTAGCCGACCATGCCACACTTGGCATGCAGCGATTTCTCCAATACTTGAGCAGCGCTCAGTGAGTTACGTGCCACTCCACGTTCAGCTCTCAGGCCACGCTCGAGACTCTTATCCAATACACCTTTGGTGTTTGACAACTCGGATACTCCGGTATCCAGCGCATTGGCCAGTGCTCACGCTAATAGCGCTTCTGTTTCCTAGCAGAGGTGGGTTCATGACTCACCAAAGCTCCGCTTTGAGACGTGCGCGTAGAGCTCAAGGTCTTGGATCTCCAATTAATATCATGGTGTTCCAACCATGCCATACCAAGGATAAGGTAATACCTTGCATCCAGGTCGAAGAATAAGCTTCCACGCTGTCAAAGTCAAGGAACTTGACACCAAGGTCCATAGGGACCCTCGGCACAGCGACACAAGTCCCCGACGCTAAGCGAACAGTGTCGGTGTCACTTTACGGCGATTTCAGCGCCGTAGCATCAGCTGACTTCCTTTTATCGTTGAGCGTCGAGCATAATTGTCCGACACCCCGGAGTCGATCAGGATCTTCCATGGCTTCTCAAAGCCCTTCACGGTTGCTTTTACGACCAGCAAGCCCGTCTTGCAACCATGCTCCACGTTCAAGAGCATGCAGCTCTTTGGGGCTTGGCCTTGTTGCTCTCTACCTCTTTGGGGCTCAACTTAACTCCAGTAGGGCGCCCCGCGCTTACTGGGTTTTCTCTTTTTCCCGCGACAAACCAGGCTGATAGAAGCGGGACGTTGGTTCGACGAAGGGGCTACTTGTCCGAAGGTGACGGGTGTCTCCACCGTCGAGTGTTTAAACACTGCTCAGCAGCTCGAAACTTACCCTCCTCCTCATTGGTGCAGGTCTGCTCGTTGACCTCTGAGGGTGTGCATTCCAACCAAGTCGTGCCGACTTGAAGCTGAATTTGTCATTCAATGCCACGTTAACCGCTTCTTCAAAAGAAGACGAATGCACCCGGAAGACTTATATTCTGGCCACGCCAGCGCGGAGGCCCTCTATACAGACGGTCACTGCGACCGCATCAGGGAGAAGACTCGGCAATGATAGTTCTTAACTCTTAGACAAAGTCCACTAAAGCTTTCTTGCCCTGTCGGGCAGCAAGGACACGCGATCTCACGCGGTATGCATGATTAGGCGGCGAGAACACTCATAGAAGCCGACGCTTCAGCTCCTTTCTAGAGGAAAACGCAGCTTCAACCGAAAAGCCGCACGTTACTGCCCACTCTCGCGCTCGGCCCCCGAGCTTGGAGATAGCTAGCGCCACGCGCTGTTGCTCGTTTTGGAGCATGGCGGATGCAATAGCCATCTCGGCCTCTCTTATCCAGAGCAGAAAATTCTCTACATCCTTACCTCGACGGTCTTAGCTCTCACCATGAGCGGCCTGGATTGGAAGGAATCATCCGTCGTCAACGGTGGCATCATACACACAATCGACGCTTGAAGCTTCTGCTGTAAGTGCTCTAACAAAACATTTATCTAACCTGAAAACGCCTCTAGGCGTGCGCTTATGGCCTCTGGCCCTTGCTCAACGAGGTGCTCCACGCCCTCAGGGTGACCTTACGTTCTTTCTAAGACCCAGTACAAATGTAGCGGATCGCAATCCATTACTTTTATAGTACTAAAGCCTTAACCAAGGCAATCGAAACTTCTGCTCAAAACTGAAACTGTTTTATTTGTTTTAGTTGCGGCAGAGCCACTAGGTTTTCCTGATTAATATAGTATTACCTGATTAATATAGCAAAACCTTATTTATATGCAACACCACTGGCATTCTTGCCACCTAGTTACTTCTTGTTACGGTGTAGCCACACCACACTAACTGTGTAATACACACCTATATACGGTCGCGCAAGATTGTGCGACCCGCCAGTAATCATTGCCGCCGCGTCAAAAGCATCCAGAAAATCGAATCAGTTTTGATGTAGCACCTGTGGATGCGTCAATATTGATATGATTACGTTACGAGAATTTTGATGCAATAATCATTGCCGCCG